CTAGTAAAAGGAACAATCCAAAAAATGATATAATGATAATAAACGCCTATGCTCCATACATTAAATCCCACATGGAGTCCAACACAATACTACTGAATGATTTCAATACACCCTTATCACCAACAGATGTCATCAAAACATAAAATCAATAAAGATATCTCCAACATAAACAACACTACAAATCAAATTAACCTATCAGATATCTACAGGATATCCCACCCCTAAACAGCTGAACTTACCCTTGCAATTGTGCATGGAACTTTTTACAAAATAGAATATATTGTAGGCCACAAAGCAAATCTTAGCAAATACAACAACAATAAAATCCTGATATGAACCCATGTGTCCTATGATGAAATGAAGCTAGAAATCAACAGTAAAAATAATAGAAACCACATAAGCACATGGAGATTGAACAATACTTTCTTAAATGAAGAATGGATGAAAGAAGAAATGAGAATAGAAGTCAAGAAATTCTTAGAAACGAAAGGTGAGAAACATATCAAAAATCTTTGGGACAGTATGAAAGCTATTCTAACAGTAAAACTTATAGCACTGAGTGCCTAAAGTTAAAAAATCAGAGAGATTTCAAATAAGCTTATGCTCCATTTCAAGACCTTAGAAGAAGAATGAATAACCCCAAAACCAGTAGAAGACAGGAAATAATTAAGATGAGAGTCAGAATTAATGAAATTGAGAATAAGAAAACAGTGCAATGAAGAGTTGATTCTTTGAAAAGATAAATAAGATTGACACTTAGTCACACTAACAAAAAGAAAGAGTGGGAAGATGCAAATCAATAAGATCAGAGATGACAAAGGAGATATGACCAGACCCCTCTGAAATCCAGAAGATTATCAGAACCTATTTAAAAAATTTTATATTCCAATAAATTGGAAAATCTGGAAGACACTGACAAGTTTCAACACATATATGAGCTGCCCAAAAGGAATCAGGAAGATACAGAAAACCTAAACAGACCAATATCAAGTAATGAAATTGAAACATCAATTAAAAGCTTTCCAAAAAAGAAAAGCCTGGGATCTGATAAACTCTCAGCTGAGTTCTTCCAGACCTTTACAGAAGAATGAACATCAGTTTTTCTCAAATTATTCCACAAAATTCAAAGCAAATGAACACTTTATGAAGCCAGTCAGTATAACCCTAATACAAAAATCAGACAAAGACACATCAAGGAAAGAAAACTACAAACCAATAACCTAATGAACACAGATGCAAAAATCTTTAAGAAAATGTTAACAAACCCCATTGAGTACATATCAAAATGACCAAATGTGGGGCTGGGGCTGTAGCTCAGTGGTGAAGTGCTTGCCTCACATGTGTGAGGCACTGGTTTGATCCTCAGCACTACATAAAAATAAATAAAGATACTGTGTGTTCATCTATAACTAAATAAATATAAAAAAATGACCAAGTGTGTTTCATTCTAGAAATGCAAGGTTGGTTCAACATATACATCAATAAATGTAATTCATCAACTGTAATTCATAACAAGCAGAATTAAGGACAAAAATCACATTTCATCTCAACAGATGCAGAAAATGCCTCTGATAAAATCCAACACTTATTCATGTTAAAAATGCTGGAGAAGCTAGAGGCTCAATGAACCTACCACCTTAACATCGTAAAGGCCATTTATGACAAAGGCAAAGCCAACATAATACTAAATGGAGAAGAACTAAAAGCATTTCCTTTAAATTCAGGAGCAAGACAAGGTGTCCGCTCTTGTCACTCCTATTCAATACAGTCCTCAAAACACTGGCCAGAGTGAACAGGCAAAAAAAGGAAATCAAGGGGATACAAATAGGAAAAAAAGTCAAACTGTCTCTGTTTGCCAAAAACATGATCCTATATCTAGGTATTATGGTTTAGATGTAGTGTTGGAAAGCTCATGTGAGACAATGTAAGAAGGTTTGGAGAAGAAATGATTGGGTTATAGCCTTATCCTAATCAGTGAGTTAATCCTGAATGGGATTAACTGAGGTGGCAGGGTGTGGCTGGAGGAAGTGGGAATTGGGATGTTGTTTTGGCATATATATTTGTATCTGGAGAGTAAAGTCTCTCTCTCTCTGCTTCGTGATCACTATGATGTGAGCTCCTTTATTCCACCACCCTCTCCTGCCATGATGTTCAGCCTCACATTGAGCCCTGAGGAATGAAGTCAGCCTTCTCTGAACTAAGACTTCTGAAACCATGAGTCCTCAAATAAACTTTTCCTCCCCTACAGTTGTGTTGGTCAGATCCTTTAGTCACAGCAGTGAAAAAGCTGACTTAAAACACAAGGAAACTTAAAAAATTCTTGCCAGAAGACTTCAGAGCTTATAAATGAGTTTATTAGCAAACAAGCAAGATACAAGATCAATAGCTTTCCAATAATTCAACAGTGATTTAGCAGAGGAAGAAATCATTCACAAAAACCTCTAAAAACTTTAAATACTTGAGAATTAATCTAACCAAGGAGGTAAAAGAGCTCTACAATGAAAACTATACAACGCTGAAGAAAGAAATTGAAAAGACCTTAGAAGATGGAAAGACATCCTATGTTCTTGGACAGGCAGAATTAATATTGTCAAAATGGGCTTACTACCAAAAGCAATATACAAATTCAATGCAATCCCCATCAAAATACCAATGACATATTTTCATAGAATCAGAAAAAAACAATTCTCAAATTCATTTGGAAGAGATCAAGAATATCCAAAGCAATACTAAGCAAGAAAAGTGAGGAAGGAGGCATTAAAATACCTGATTTGAAATTATACCACAAAGCTGTAGGAACAAAAACAGCATGGTATTGGTATCAAAACAGATATGACACTGAATGGAATAGAAGACACAGAGACAAATCCACATACCTATGGCTGTCTAATATTTGCAATGGTGTAAAAATATATCTTGGAGAAAAGACAGCATTTTTAACAAGTGGTGCTAGGAAAACGAATAGCTGTAGTAGAAAAATGAAATTAGACCCTTCTCACCCTGCGCAAAACTCACAAACTGAACTGGATCAAAGACATGGAAATTAGACGAGAAATTTTACAACTTTAGAAGAAAACATAGAGTCAGTACTCCAATATATAGAACCACAAAGTATAAGAAATAAAATCATGAATCAACAAGTGGGATGCCAAACTGAAAAGCTTCTGCACAACAAATGAAATAATTAAGAATGGGAAGAGAAAGCCTTCAGATTAGGAGAAAATTTTAGCCAGCTACTCCTCCAATAGGGGATTAATATCCAGAATATACAAAGAACTCAAAATACTTACCAACAACAACAACAAAACCAAATAACCCAATCAACACATGAGTCAAAGAACTAAAAAGAAACTTCTCAAAAAAAAACACAAATATATGGCCAATAAATATATGAGAAAATGTTCAACATCTACTGTAATCAAGGAAGTGCAAATCAAAACCACACTAAGATTTTATTTCACTCCAGTTAGAATGGCAATGAACAAGAATACAAACAGTAGAAAATGCTGATAAGATTGTGGGGAAAAAGGTACACTTGTACATACTGGTAGGACTATAGACTAGTACAACCTATCTGGAAAGTAGTATGGAGATTCCTCAAAAAACGAGGGATGGAACCACCATGTGACCCAGCTATCCCACTCCAGGGTATTTTCCCCAAAGATCTAAAACTGGTATACTACAGTGACACAGCTACATCAATGTTTACAGCAGCACAGTTTGCAATAGCTAAATTATGGAATCAACCCAGTTGCCTGTCAATAAATGAATGGATTAAGAAATTGTGATACCCATACAAAATGGTGTTTTCTCAGCCATAAAAAAGAATGAAAATATGGCATTTGCTGATAAATGGATGGAAATGGAGAATATTATGCTAAGTGAAATTAGCCAAACTCAGAAACTCAAAGGTCAAGTGTTTTCTCTCAGATGCAGAAGCTTGAGTAAAATAAAGGAAAAGGGGAAGAAAGGTAACATAAAAAACCAATCAAATACAAATTAATTGATGAGTAAAAGGAAGTGTATTAGAGAAGAGGGTGAGTGGGAGAGAGGAGGGAGAGCGGGAAGGATAAGGGGGATCATGAACTGATACTGATTTCCATGCATGTATGAGATTGCAGGGGTTAACCCAACCATTGTGTTTAACTATAAAGCTCTTAAAAAATAATAAAAGAAAACATTAACGCCATATTTGAATCTTTGATGACCAAGGTCTTTGATGGATCATAATTAGTTCCTAAGCTGAATTAATTCTACTGACAATTATTTTTAAAGCTCAAGTCTTTTTTTCTTTCCATATTTTTAATTGGTGCACTATAGTTGTGCATAATGGTGGGATGTGTTATATATTTGTGCATGTACACAATATAACAATAATTTGGCCAACATCATTCCCCAGTATTTGCTCTTTCCCTGCCCTCCTTCCTTCCCTGGTCCCTTTCCTCTACTCTTCTGATCTCCCTTAGATTTTCATGAGATTTTATCTTCCCAAACCCTACTTTTCTCTTCCTTTTTCCTCTGTGGCTTCTACACATGAAAGAAAACTTCCACTTGTGGCATATTTCATTTAACATAATGTTAAAGAAATTTAACACAATGTTCTCAAGTTTCATCCATTTTCAAGCAAATGACATAATGTCATTCTTCTTTACAGCTGCATAAAACTTAATTGTGTATAAATACTACATTTTCTTTATCCATTCATCAACTGATGGACACCTACCTAGGTTGGTTCCATAGTTTGGCTACCGAGATCTTTCTTGAGAGAAAGGAAAGTCTCTATACTTTCTGCAATCCCTATAGTTTTTACACCTTTATAGTGAGATAGTGTTGTAATTTATATATGAACATAGTATTTTCACCCATGATGGTCTATTTCTTGAGAACAGGGTCTGAGATAATCATTTCTACACACTTTCAAAAGTAAATGCTCAATAGTGTCGCATGAACAAGTGAAAAATACGTAAAAGATCTCAATGCTATAGGAATTATTTACTTACGTTCCACAAAGGAAGTAAACAGCATTCTAAATCTGCTAAGCCGACTACCTTCATCTGCCCACATTCTTATCACTCCAACTCCTGTTTTAAGCATTACATCATTGGCCACAGTGCTGCAAAACTTGGCCTTCAGATTTTCAATAGCACTGCTTCCATCGTACACTGCAACAAAGTTTCTCTTGCATTCATTTGAGTGCTCCATTTGATAATCTAGGAACCTCAAATATATCTGTAACATTAAAACAAAGAAAAAAAAAACTGCTTTAAAAATAGTATTTTTTCCTACTTCTTTTATCCACAGTCAACATGTTAGACTGAATTATGACAGTTGACAAATAGATATAAGGCTAATAGCTAATTGAAAAGTCTAAGACCAATGGTCTGTTACTTTGGTTGTGTTAATAATAGAACCAAGCATTAAGGAAACTGAAGTTTGTGTTTTCTCTACAAAGTTAAGTTTTGCAAGAGGCTTTAACTGTGTTAGAGTTTCCTCATTATAAAACAATCTCATGGTACTGATAGGTAGAGGAAATAAATCACTCAAAGGTTATATTTTTCTAAAAATGTGACTAATATTTTTCTTCCAGTTTTCCTGTACATTTTAATATTTAAGTTTAATCACAGGAAATAGAAGATGTATGTACCCTAGTTTTGTTATAACCCAACAGAATATCATCTATATTCTTGAAAACAATGCTCATTCCTACAATGTATTACCATTCACTTACCCACTACTCTACTGTTGCACACTTAATTGATGTTTTAACATTCCACCCCTTAAAACGCTCTATATTTTTTGGACTGGTATATGATATCAACTGTATTTTCAAAGTAAACACCTTTATTTGTTTATTAAAATTTTACAGGGAGTTTGATACCTGGCACCAAGTTTTCTTAAAATACACTTGGCTCATTCTTGTTTGAATATTTCTTTTACATCTTTGTCTTAAAAAGGCAAAGCATTAATCTTTAGAAGAGGTTCATGAAGTAGGTATCATTATTTATGAAGAGACTCAGGAACTTGCCCAGGGTTATTTAGAGGAAGGATTTGAACCCAGGTTAGTCTAAGTGTCTTCTTCTCACTTCATAGGTTGCTTCACACGTGTGTATGTGCAATGTGCACACACACATACCCGCACACACACACCCACTCTTCTCACCCTCTTGACTGTAGATACTCATGTGTCACTCTAAAAGTAAAATAAAAATTCAATGAATAAAGAATAAAGATTTCCCCTAAATTTCCACTGAAGACACCTAATGAGTACACACTTTCTAGTTATTATTCCTGAGGTTGTGGTAAGTCACCCCTACCCTTTTATTTAAAGGGCTTAATAAAACAAAAAGTTTTGTCACATATTTTTTACCTTTTAAACTACTTTGAGGGCATGAAACTTAAAAGCAGAATTAAAATATAGCTCAAATTTTGACCAAGTTTGGTTTATTTGAAATGACCAGTTTGCCACTTCCATGAGAACGTCAGACGTTTAGTTATGAAATAGGTTTTCCATTCTAAAACTTATTTTCATGCATGTATTTTAACATACAAATTGCATTTTCTTAAATGTTATCATTGGATCTTATAGATTTCGCCATTATTTATATAACCAAATCACCCTGCTCATAGTTCTATGGTAGTGGGTATCCCTAATACTATAATTATCTCCTCCTTTAGATTTTAAGGTCTTCTGATCAGAGGACCATATGCTCAGTTATATTCAATATAACTCGCTCAGAGCAGGCAGTAAGTTAGTAGCTTTGTGTTAATTATGAACTGGCAAAACTAAATATCAGCTAAATTACCAAGATGTCTGAATTATTTACATTGTACTTTTAGTAAAATATAATCTTAAGTGGCATATTTTTCTTAAATATCACTCATTAACTAGTTTATACTATTTCAAGTATTCAGTGGTTATGATGGCCTTTCATCTTTTTTTAAATAAAACCAGGTGTTTGCTCATTATGTTTAACATTGTTTTTTAATGTCTAATATGACATTTTATTTATTTTTATTATTTGTATTTGTAGATGGACAACATATTTATTTATTTCATGTGGTGCTAAGGATTGAACCCAGTGCCTCACATGTATTAGACAAGCGCTCTGCCATTGAGCTACAACCCCAGCCCTGTGTTTAACAATTAAAAAAAAAATTTGTTTTTTTTTAGTTGTAGATGGACACAATACCTTTGCTTTTTTTATGTGGTACTGAGCATCGAACCTAGTGCCTTACATGCGGTAGGCAAGTGCTCTACCACTGAGCCACAACTCCAGGCCACCCCCCATGTTTAACAATTTTTAAAAAAGGATTGAAGTCATTTTTTAAAACTGTGTATAACTTTTTTACTTAAAAATTAATGAAAAGTAACACAATCTCTACTAGTCAATAATCCAGATAACACTCCTAAAATATCTGTGAATGTGGAATTATCTTTCACAAAATGTTTCAATAAAGAGTATGGAGTTCTAAAACATATCATTTAATTTCATGGAAATAAATATCTAAATATTAAAAATTGTCAAATATAAAAAAAAGTATTGCTGATTCGATTAAAGCCTGTGTTCCCATTACCCTTCCTATGTATCTTTAGTTTGATTTGTAATTACTATATTTTAATGTTTATGAATCTAAAAAATATATAGTATTATTTTAAAACATTTTATCACTTATAAACCACTTTCCATCTTTTTATGGGATTCTAGTTTGCTTTCACTTTTAAAATTTATTAATACTGCTGCAAATATTCTTGTATTCTCATTACACACATAAATGATGATTTCATTTGGGTATCTATCCAGAATTGTACTTACTATGTTTTAACATATCACCTTTCAGCTTTAACAGAGTTATGCTGATAAATGACTATAGCAATTTATGCTCCTAAAGCAAATTAGGAGTTTCCATTACTCACTTCTTGCTAACATCTCAAGAAATGTTCCCTGAACCACCCCTGCCTCCAGGGGAAATCTGTCAAGTTGCTTGCTACTTTGCAGGTGTCTGTCCTATAGTGTGACTTTTCCCAGAACTTTACATAAAGTCATATAGTACATAGCTTTTTTAGCATGATTTGTTTGAGAGTATTGCATTTGTCAATAGAATGTCCCTTTTTAATGCTGAAAAGAGTATACTATCTGGATATGCCTGAGTCTATTCTTTTAACAGCGGAAGAAACTTGAACCTTTCTTTGCTTTTGATTATTATGGACAAAACTGCTACAAATATTTGCATATTTATTATATGAACCACTTTCATTTCTCCTGGGTACACATTCAGAAAAAACCAGAGTCACATGGCAATTTTATAGGAAATTACCATGATGTTTTCCAGAGTGGTATATCATTTTGCATTCCCACGAGGAATGTATCAGAGTTTCAGTTACTCTTTAGGTTTCCAGGATTTAGCGTTTTTTCTTTTCTTTTTTTTTTTTTGGTGGAAGGTCGTGTCACTGTTTCCAAGATTAGTCTTTAATTTTTAAAGCAAGCCTCCTGCCTCAACCTCCAGGTGAGGCTTTACGCATATGTCACCAAGTCTGGTTTGGTATTATTTTTTTTTAAATAATCAGTTTTAATGGCGGTATATCATTGTGATATACTACTATTTCACTGTGGTCTTAATTTGCATTTTTGTAATGACTAAATGTTATTTGAATTGTCTGATAAAATTTTCCCACTTAAAAATTGGGTTGTTGACCAGAAATATGGAAAAAATGTGCTCTATATGTGTAATACAAATTGTAATGCATTCTGCTGTCATGTATAACAAATTAAAATAAAAAAAATTTAAAAAAATTGGGTTGTTGGGGCCAGGGCTGTGGCTCAGTGGTTGAGCGTTTGCCTCGCACGTGTGAAGCACTGGGTTCAATCCTCAGCACCACATAAAAATAAATAAATAAAATAAAGGTGTTGTGTTCATCTACAACTAAAAAATATTTTAAAAGAATTGGGTTGTGTGCATACTATTGAGTTTGAGTTCTGGAAAAAAGAAGTCTTCAGAAAAAACTGTGATTTGCAAAAGCCTTTTCCCAACCAGTGGCTTTTCACTCAATAACATCCTTCACAGGGAAAAGCTTTTTATTTTGATGAGTCCAATTTATGCGCGCGTGCACACACACACACACTTTTCACTTATGGATAGTTCTTTGGTGTCCTATCTAAGAACTGCCTAACCCAGAGTCATTTTTTTCTGGAGCTTGGGGTAAAGCTCAGTGGTAGATACCTAGCTAGCACAGAGCAGGTCAAGTTAGATCCCCAGCATTGGGGGAAAACGAAGAAAAGATTTTCTCCTGGATACTTACAATTTAACGTTTATGGTTATAATATATATTTAGGTTTTGTGTGAGGTACTTTATAAATGTCAAAGTGCATTTTTTAAAACTGCAGACTTATATTGTTCCATCCCCATCTGCTGAAGACTACCCTAACTCCACTAACTGCTTTGTATATGTCAAAGAGCAATTAACCATGTTTACACAAATCTAATCTCTTGGGCTATTTATTTTGTTCCATTGACCTGTACCATTTTGTCAATATCACATTATCTTGATTACTGAAGTTTTATAGTAAGTCTCCATCTCCATCTTCATTCTTTAACAGTATTATTTACTTACCATTAAGTTCTAGAATTAGTTTGTTAATATTTACAAAAGTACGACTGGGATTTTGATGGGAATTGTGTTCAACTATACAAATCAATTCTGAAGAACTGACATTTTAGTGTTACAGAGTCTATCAATACATGTATACAGTGCATCTCTTCATTTAGGTCTCTAAATCTTTTAATCAGTGTTCTACACATTTTCAGTTTATGGATGGTGCATATACTTGTAAGATGCTTTTTAGAAACGGTACAGTTTTCTTAATTTTCAACTGACTGGTATTAGTAGTAAATAATAAGACAGACAGTATATTTTGCATATTGGTTTTATATCCTGCAAACTTGCTAAACTCATTTTTGTTTCAGGAATTTAAAATTTTTTTTGGTAGAGTTAATGAAATTTTTTATTCAGATAATCAATCACGTAAATCTACAAAGACAGTATATTTTTCCTTTTTGCACTGGCTACAATTTCTAGTATGGTGTTGAATAGGAGTTAGCTACAAATTCCAAAGGGACAAGTATTCAGGTTTTCACCATTAAATGTGATATTAGCAGGAGGCTTTGTAGATATCCTTAATCAGGTTATGCAAACTTTTTTGAGATTTATTTTTATTTCGAATGGGTACTGA